CAGAAGTTCAGTTTGGTCATGCTGTAAGTTCTTAAATATTTTTGCCGTTACCTTCTTTGACTACTAAGAATCTCAATGACCATCATGACTAGCTCGAGATTTTCATGTTCTGTTTTACTTAAACCAGGGCGCTAAAAGTGGTGGTGAGTTGGAATCTGCACAAGCAAAAAATCAGGCTCTAAAGGAATCAGGAGCAGTTGTTCCAACTTCTTTTGAAGCTCTGGAAAGTGCAATAAAAGTGACATTCGAGAAACTTGTAAGTTTGTATTCGACCAATGTGTTTAATATGTTTATAAGTGGAGAAATCATGCAGTAAATTGTAATTATTAACCTTCCTGCAAATGATCTCCTATATATATTGTTTAGGTCGATGAAGGGAAGATTACCCCTGTACCTGAAGTTACACCTCCTCCAATTCCTGAGGACCTTAGCACAGCAATCAAAAGTGGAAAAGTCCGTGCCCCAACACACATCATCTCCACAATCTCTGATGACAGAGGTCTGATAATGACTCTCTCTTCTCTAGATTTCAAGTTACATCCCTGCAGAAATTTTTTCTAGGTTTACCCAATTACTGTTGGTTTCATTTACAGGTGAAGAACCATGTTATGCTGGTTTGCCAATGTCGACCATTATTGAACGGGGCTATGGTGTTGGTGATGTTATATCTCTTTTATGGTTCAAGCGCAGCCTTCCCCGTTATTGTACACAATTTATTGAGGTGGGTAAACACAGTTCTTGGTGAATATGTTAATTAATTTTTTTAACCCTATTGAGTTGGGTAAACACAGTTTTGGTGAATAGGTTAATTTATTTTTTAACCCAGTTGAGAATACACATTTGTGTGTTCCATTTTAGTTTCCCAAGTGTTTCCTCCTCATAGGTGATAGCTGTCAATTGTCTGGCTTGATCTTGACACCTTGACCATAATATTGCTAATCATTAGTAAGCATCACTTGCCTCTAGCTTAGTATCAGTTCTTTGTGCTCAGATCTGCATCATGTTGTGTGCTGATCACGGGCCCTGTGTGTCTGGTGCTCATAATGCTATCGTGACCGCAAGGGCTGGGAAGGATCTAGTTTCTAGCCTTGTTTCAGGTATATTTACACCCGTAAATGGTATTAAAAGTCATGCATTACTTTTTTTATGTAGAAACACCTATGACGTAAGCAAACAACTAAATTAATGCTAATGGTTTTTTATCATTTTTTAAACAGGACTGCTTACAATTGGTCCTCGATTTGGTGGTGCAATTGACGATGCTGCTCGATACTTCAAGGATGCATATGATAGGGTGAGTTGGCTTGGTATCAAATAATCTATAAATTTATATTTTCACTTGCTAATGCATCAAAGTCTTGCTACTTTAATTATTGGGGAGTGGGGACATTTCACATATGCATGCATTTCTTCGTAGGGTCTCACTCCTTATGAGTTCGTTGAGAGTATGAAAAAGAAAGGTATTCGAGTACCAGGGATTGGTCACAGGTATATATTTTCTGCTGTTTATTTTTTAATCACATTGTTCGAAATAAATATATAAATGACATGTTATCACTATGTTATTTGCACATGTATATCCCCACATGTTAGTAGCTGCAGATCCATTCTGGTTTCCTATAGTTCACATGCTTCAAATGTTTGAATCAGAATCATGGCATCTTTGTACATATATATGTCCCCCATATTAATAGCTGCAGATGCATTCATATTGCATGTTTTTCATTTATAGACAAGGTGGGATTTATTAGCCGGTGCAACTGAGATTTTTTTCCCCTATAATTCACATGCCGCCAATGCTTGCTTCAGGATTCTGCTATGTCATTACTTTCATAGGCTCTATTCTCTTTGGAGAATCAATTAAAAAGTGGGTATTTTAAAAGTTGTAGAGCTGAATGATCACCTTATGCAAGTTTTCATGTCAAAATCTATCGAACATAAAATCAACAATGAGTATCCATGGAATAGAAGTGTGTATCACACCTTTAAACATAGCCCACCTCTAAACTTAACATATACGGCATCTCTATAGCTTCATAGAGCACCATGATCAAAAGTATGTCAATACTGAACATATATTCTGTGTTTAATCATGAGTGACACCGAACCATTCTGAGAAGCTGAAGCTATTTTCTAATAAGACTTTTCATTAGGGTGGATTGAGTTCAAAATCAACCATGTATTGATTTCAAAGTGCAAGTTCATACCTTCAAATATTAGTATAACATGCATCTGTCTAATGTACTGGTGTCTGTTAAGTTTACTGTAGTATTGTTATTCACTCCAATGAACCTGAGCTCAATATGAAAGGTACAGAACCACTGTGGGATAATTTCTTCTTACCGGTGGATTTCGGGGAAAGTCTTTCAGTAGAATTATTTTTTAAACTAAGTTGCTTGAGTTGCAGTACTTCCACTTTCACATAATTTTTAGTTTTTTTGACCAATATACCCTTCAATGTATCTTATTTGCAGATTTATTCCCCAGTTCTGACCATAAATTTACGTCTAATTCTTTGACACTGAGTTAAAATAACCCTCTCATTTAATACTGTTAAATTTCAAACCAAGAAAGGGTAAAATGGCAAAACTAAACCCTGTACTATCCCTTAAAAAAGATTCTTTATCCCTATGTCCCTAAATTTATCCTATTTGCATATTTACACCCCAAATCTGCATGTCTGCTAATTTACACCTATGAATTTAACAGTGTTAAATGAGATAATTATAAAAATCCATGTGGGAGAATGTAGGAATAAATCAGCAAACATGATAATTTGGGTCATATATCTGCCAAACAGATAGATTTGGGGGGTTGTACAAAAAACCCTATTTGTGATATTTTGTCCCAATTCATGTATATTTACATAGAAATTTTGATAGTACATTCAATGAAAGGTGGCAGTTTTCACTGGCACCATATTGACAATATAGATATTTTCCTTCAAAATTTGCAACACCAAATATTTTGATATGTTTTCAGGATCAAGAGCAGAGACAACAGAGACAAGAGAGTGCAGCTGCTCCAAAAATACGCTCACACACATTTCCCCTCTGTTAAATACATGGAATATGCTGTTCAGGTTGAGACCTACACACTATCGAAAGCAAATAACTTGGTGCTAAATGTTGATGGAGCAATTGGATCTCTCTTCCTCGATCTTCTCTCTGGCAGTGGAATGTTCACCAAGCAAGAGATTGATGAGATAGTTGGGATTGGATACTTGAATGGTCTCTTTGTCCTAGCACGATCAATTGGTCTTATCGGGTGAGTTTACATTCATAAGCACCGTTACTTATTTATTTTATTGATTATTTGCAGATCCACCCCCCTAAAGTATCTTATTCCATTTCATTAGTATATGTAACACCTGGCACTCGTGACAACGTATTTTTCTGCTAGTTCTAAAGTCCAATCAAGAGTATTGTATAGGGATGTTTTTCCAAATATGTCTGGGATTTTAAAAACTAACGGAAAAAACATGTCATCGTGGGGATTAGGGATGTATATACTAATAAAATAGAACACGAGTGATAAGTATCTGCAAATAACCCTTATTTCATTCATCTTCATGAGATTAGCTGCTTAACCATTATGTTCCTGGAAGAGGAGGTAATATTCTCATGACCCTATCCAAAATCTTATGAACCTATCCAAAATCTTTCATATTTTCTTTTATTGCACAGCTTCATTCATTATCTAAATAAATATGAAACTAAAAATCTAAAAGAATGATACAATGCCTTGCTTAAGATATTCTGTTCTAACATTATTCATACTTCCATAGTAAAGAGGCTTACCTCCTTTGGTTTTGGTTTCGATTTTGAAATTTCAGGCACACTTTTGATCAGAAGAGGTTGAAACAGCCTCTCTACCGCCACCCTTGGGAGGATGTTCTATATACCAAGTGATCATTATTTCGATTCCAGAGTGTAACAGTAGCCATCATGTTCCAATTTTTCCCTGCATATTTTCATTGTTATTGCTGTAGGGACTCGGAAACTTCAATTGTCAATTGTGGTACTGCAGATCAGTACTTTAGTCTATAAATTTTGTAAGCTTATTTGATCCATTTCGTTATTATATGCTCGCTAGATTCTTCTCTCATTTTTCATAGCATATATTGTTCAGTACTGAAATGTTGAGCAGTTAATCTGTGGACCTGGAGAATACCTGGTGGGGACGGCCCATGGTATTAAATGTGTATTCAAATGATGTCAACCCTTAGATCTGGACATAAATCTCGAAGTCTAATGATCCAACGGTTGACATCATTTGCGTGCACATTTAATGCCATGAACCGGGGCGCACTTGATACTTTTCCGGGATTGATTAGTGTTGCTCTGATGAAAGGATAATAGGCCATTTATCATCCAATTATTTTTTAGGGCAGGGCGAAAGAACTACAATGGTTTCATGCCTGATGAGTGGGTGTCCGCCCTTGAATCACTGAATTTCCGGATTCATGCACGAATCTAAAGATTGACATCCTTTGGATGTGCATTTATTGCTATAGACCATTTCTAGATACTTTCTCAATTATCAGATAGACTGCATTTATTGCCACCTGATAGTTCAAAGAAGAAATATAACATGTTATTATATCTTAGAAAGCACGAAGGAGAGCGGCTCTTCTCTGAATTAGGGCATACAAATTACTTAAAAGTCAATTAATCCAAGGGTGGAGCATATGATTAATGTTATGGACAGAAATAACATATTCTGTCAGGTCCCTAGATCAAGAAAATATCACGCCAATGAACTTGAACCCTGTACGAAATCTAGCCACAAGTACTCTGGACAAAACTACAAAACAAAAGAGAGAGTTTCCTCCTCCTGATCATAGAGCACCAACCCCCTGACAACACTGTATTTTTTTCTACTTAAGGAGATTATCCCTAGTATTAAGCCGGTCATTAACGGGCTAGCAAACCCATAATCTGGACTTAAAGGAGGTTGAGGACTTCTCTACGACTTACAATATGCACCAATCCTCCTCATATTCGAAGCAAGCTTGCCATGCGATCAGATTAACTAAAAATACCGGACGAAAACTTGGTTCCTTCAAAACTACAATGCAAGAGTTAATACAAGGGTGAAACATCTCATCCTGCATCTTTCCCTTGTATCTTGAGTTGTGATAATTGTTCCAGAATCATTCATTAAGGATAAAAAACAGATTCAAAAAAAAACTACAAGGCCCTTCAGCGAAGCAAGTGGCGAATGGCAGCGACGGTATCGCCTTTATGCTCACGTAGCGTTCTCTCAGCTACCTTCTTGTCCAGCTGCACACAAAAATAATAAGTAAATAAATAAATATATAATGAAGACCAGACTAATATAGTTTGCACATAAAAGGAAATGAGTGAAGGAAAAGATCTAGTTTGTGACCTCAAGCTCGTTTGCGATTATATCGACATCAGCAGGATTGATCTTAACAGCAGCTAATTCTTTCTCCCTGGTAACAAAATCAAAAATGAAAAATTGTAGAGGGAACTTAAATATATATAGTACATATCAGCAATATAGGAAGAGGGGGAAAAAAGAAAACAATAAAACAGAAATCGTTGTATGAAGATTACTTAACCTTGACAAACAATGTATAACTTAAAATATAGTAGTTGGCTAGAATCAAAGCCCTTTTATATAGAGACACAAAATTGTGAGAAACTAACAGCCCTCCAGGGGGATGCAGCCAAATGATATGACTTACAAAAGCGAAATGAACGTTGCTACAGGTTGATCTGGTCTTTACCGTTTCATCTGAACTCAACGTTACCATTTGGCACTTTTAATATAAAACCCATGTAGCTATATATTGAACCAGGAGTTAGCAATAGCTTCATAGTTCATACTTAACATTTAATGCAGCCATTTGTACTGCGGACCTCAGGGTTCTAGTGCAAGGTCATATATAACAAGAACTTCTACTTACTAATTACATTATCCCACAATGGTACTAGTTCCAACAGCCCTTCCAGCTATATTATCTCAATTTCTCAAATCTCTTTCTATTTTGTTACATTCTGTAAGGTTCTCAATGATTATCTTCTCTAGTACTTTAATGCTTTGTTTGGGAGTTTATTAAGGGAAGGGATGGAAAAATAATGGAAAGGAAAGGTAGGGTATAGAAGTGAAAAGATAAAATGTTGTTTGGGAGTCTAGTAAGGGGAACGGAAGTAAATTTGTTTTAACTTGTTTGGAAGTTTCTAATAAAGAGGACAGAAGTTAAGTGAATATGTATAAAGTTATATAAATACCCTTACATATTGGATGAGAGTATATCTTAGTCATTGATTTTAGTGTCATAAGGGTATAATTGTCTTATCACATTGTTAAATTTTACATTGGTTTTCATTCCATCCTCTACCCCCAAATTGGAGGGGAGGAAAATGGAAGGAAATTTAATCTTCCATTCCATCCTCTAACCCCTCAAAAAAACTCCCAAACAATGTGAAATTGAAATTTCACTTTAACTTCCGTCCATTAACCTCCATCCATTAACCTCCATCCAAACAAGGAAAAACTTAGATCCCTAGACAGGTTGATTTGATGAGATCTAAGCTAGTTGTCGGTATATGCTACTCATGTACATCAATAGATACAAACCACCCGAGGTAAAACTGTCAAAACAATATGCTTGTATTGTGTTCTATTTTTTAGCTTGCAAATGTAACACTTATAAGTGGTTGGTATTGCTTAATAATCAAATTCCCTTCACAAACCACCACCAGAGTTTCCTGTTTTAGTTTGTAAATATATGTCTTAAAGTAACGAGTGTCATTGAGTTAATAAAAGTTCTTACTCACCATTTCACCATGTTGAATGTTTGTAGTTTACTTTTAATAATTCAAATCCTTAGGATAGATGAAAAGGTCCACAGAGTTTATGGACAATGCTAATTGATAGGTGGTCATACTCATAAAATTAGAAAGTCAAGCACAGGTATCGATCCAAAAAAAAGGTTTACCACGTTTCAGAAGTCACAAAAGAAAATTATTTGACATGCTAGCAATTCCGAATTTTCAATGATAATGCTAAGAGCTTGGTACATACTAGACATATAGAGTTGAATGTAGACTTTTACATTGTAATCTATAACCGAGGGACACGTGTTTCCTTGTGTATCTTTGACATAGAAGGTGTTTGGGAAGACTTATTCTTTAAAGCTTATTAGTTAGACTGGCTTTTAGCTTTTTTGATAAAAATACTATAAAAATTATTTGAGTAGAATAGTAATTTGCTTGGTCAAACCTAGTTTTTTTAGGTGAGCTTATAAGCTAGTCTTTCAAAAACCGAGCTATACCATATTTTCAAAATGGGACTTATAAGCTAACTTATTTGACATCTCAGAGAACCAACAAGAAAACAGTACGAGCATATTGTGCAAGAGCTACTGAGATTGCTTCTAAACTGTTGCTCTTCAGCTTCTTCAATATGCATAGTTAATTTTAACTAAGTTGATATATATATATGTATATATATACATATATAAGTATCTATATGTATACATATATATGCATACATATTTATACATATGTATGCATACATATTTATGCATATGTATGCATACATATTTATGCATATGTATGCATACATATTTATGCATATGTATGCATACATATATATGCATATGTATGCATACATATATATGCATATGTATGCATACATATATATGCATATGTATGTATGTATGTATGTATGTATATATGTATGTATGTATATATATATATATATACATACATACATACATATTTATGCATATGTATGCATACATATATATGCATATGTATGCATACATATATATGCATATGTATGTATGTATGTATATACTTCTCCCAACAAAAACTTTGGTGGCCAACACACCAGGAAACGACACAAATGACCAACTGCACCTTATACTGAGAAATGTGTGAAACTATTATTTACCTAAAAAAATATGCACAAGTAAATGGTATGCCTCCTTTTGGGGAGGAAAATGTTTTACAAATCATGATATCAAGTTCGCATACATATGAATAACAACCAATACATATTTAAACATACATATGTTCAAAAGTAAATGGCATGCCTCCTTTTGACCCCCCCCAAAAAAAGTTTTATAAATCATGAATTCATAATATCAAGTTCGTTTACATATGAATAACAACCAATACATAATTAAACATACATATCTTCAGAAGAAATCTGCATATCCTTGTATCAGTTTTGGATGATGGTTATGTCCACAGTATTTGTACACTTTCTGCCAGGTATTCATGTCCACTAACCACAGAACACACCATTTAATTAATTAAAAATACTCAACTGAAGCCAGTGTGCTATTCTCTGTTGTCATTCTAGAAGCATAGGTGTTGATTCTGTTCAAAAGCAAATGTAACTCCATACTATGATTTGATGCAGAAAATCATGTATTGGACAACGGTATCTACCTTGTCCGAATATAAATATTTCAATCACCTTGGCTACAAGTTAATCACCCACCTTCATATGTTTTTTTCTTCTAACCTTGCCCATAATTAGCTACCTCCTTAAAAGTTAAACCATCTTAATTTCATCTTGATTTAGGACCACAATAGACAACTTTCACATAACTTTGTCGGGAGAGCAAGATTGTACAAAATCTTGACTTTATTAATCCGTACTCAATATACTAACAACAAAAGTAACAATCCAAAATGCATTTGAAGAAAGACCCAAAAAAAAACACATCAAATCACCTCATCCTCATGGCATTTAAATCAGCTTCTTTAGACGAACTGAGAGCCGCCATAGCCTGCCAACACAAACAATAAACCTCTACAGTCATTAAATTCACATTGCTCAAGCATTTCACGAAACACTTCGCACACAAATGAAACCGGCGAAATAAATAGCACAATCTCATATGGTTTCCGTACACTTATCATTAATTTTAATGGACTACAGGGGGAAAATTGAAGAAGAAAAAAACTTGGACTAACGCATTTCATCAAACACTTCACAGACATGGATAAAATTGCCCGCATACACGGAATAATCCCAGATGGGTTTTTCGCCCTAAATCATTATTTTCAACGAATTACCAAAAAAAACAGAAAGAAATTTAAAAAATAGGGCGAATCAGAGCGAAACCTCTTGAACTCGAGTGGAATCGAGCTGGCGATCTTCGACGCGATCGGTGAGCTTATCGAGGGCTTTGCTCTGCTGCTGTAAATCCTTGGAGTCGACCACTCTATCGACCGCAGCTTCGTCTCCTGCCTCCATTCTTTTTTTTGGGGGGGGGTCCTTTTCTCCTCTCCAACTCTTTCTCTAGCAAAAATCTTAGCTGCAGCTGTTCGTCTCTTGAAGGGAAGCGTTGTAATACGGGCCCACAAATGGGCCGGGCTTAGTTCACACTTGGATTTGGTTTGCATCTAGTTTTTGGAATAATAGTGGGCCCAAGAGCAATTCCAAATAAACTGGGTGGAAAACTCTTACTTGTACGAGACATTTGATTCGTCGTACGTACAATACTTGTGACTGGAGTTGCGTGCAACCGAAACATCTCGCGACAGTTAAAAGCTATTTATTTAACTGTAGTTAATAAACGTACTTGCAATAGAAGCTTAACAAAAAGTCTTATTGAGGTTAATGGTTTATAGATGTGAGAAATTTTTTGAAAGAGGCACTTTTTGATAAATATTAAGCAAAAACGACCGTTTTGCTAAATCGATCTCTTTTTAACCAGCTCATTATTAAGGCTAACTAAAAAGATGTCTATTTTACAAAATATGAGTTTTAAAACACACGAAATGTTAATCCCGTGAGTTTAGCGGTCACTAATCGCGCTCTAAACAAAACTTAGAAAACCAAGTCCGTACCGTGGGTTTTCTGCATGTACCCAGCCTCCGTAACCTTTTCTGCTGCTTTGACCCTTTCTGTTGGCCATTGAGAAGCTGCCTGCTCTCTTGCTGCCCCTTTTGGCGTGAGAATCTATGCCTCCTTCGCTTGAGTGGCAAAGGTGAAACACTCTGCACCTTAACAAAATTAAACTCGTACAAAAGCCAAAAGGGGCAGCAAGAGAGCAGGCCGCTTCTCAATGGGTCATGGAAAGGGTCAAGGCAGCATAAGAGGCTGCGGAGGCTGGGTACATGCAGAAAATCCACAACATTATTAGTCCCGTGAGTTTTTTGGATCCGCAAGAGAGTACTTGGGTTCTCCCAATAAAAAAATGTATCATGCTTGAATCGAACCTTACTTAGAGCGCGGTTAGCGACTGCTAAACACACGGGATAGGTAGTCCTGTGTGTTTTGAAAACTAATATTGTTGTTATTTTTGTTGGCCCAAAGACTTTGGCCCGTCTCCATAAAGGCTCATTTCCTTTTTTGTTTAAACTGATGAGCCCTAGCCCCTCTCTTCTCACCCTTTATTCGATGGTTTCTCACCTCCTCCCGATCTCTGTGATCTGATGCCCGCCGCTGTGAGTCCCATCCGTAGGTCGGCTCCTACCTCCCTAAACCCTAGCCTCCTCCCCCGTGTCGGCTGCCCCCTTCCCTATTTAAGGTGAAGGGCCGGTAGTAGCTTGGTGGGTGTGGAAAACAGCGAGGGTGTCGAGATCTTGAGCTCTTTGCTTTACCCCTTTGTGCGATCCTCTTCACGATCTGAGCTCTGTGCTCCTTCGAAGCCTCTGTGCTTTCAACCCTTTGTGAGATCTTAGAGAGTGACAGTAGCTTCCCCCTTTGTGTTCTTGGTGGTGCACAGTTGAAGAAGAAGGACTGATTGAGCAGGCTTCTGAGCCAAACAGCGACGTTAATTCACAACAAATATTTTGCAAAAATCGACCTCTTTTTAATCAGACTTAGTGATATAACAAAAAAAAGTCGATTTTGCTAAATATTTAGCAAAATGGTCGTTTTTGCTAAATATTTCTCAAAAAGAGCCTCTTTCATGAAGGAATTTCAGCATCAGCAGCAGCAGAATCAGGAAAAACAGGCGGCGGTCGGTGAGGTGACGGAAATCTGTTTCTGTAGTTATTAGCTTGATCTTGTCTGCATCGCCATCTTTGAAGTTCTGTGCATTCAATCTGATTAATCTCTGGCTTTGTTGAAAAATTACAGTAAATCTTTGGGACTGTTAAATCTTTTTTCAGAAATTAAAATACTGTTTTTTTTTGGAGTGCTCGTGTGAAAGATCAAAGAGATTGAAACAAGAACTTTGTGTTCATCGTTCTTCTCATTTGTTCGTGCTAGTTGCTTCACACGTTTTGAGCCGGATAATTACCAAAATCGTGCTTCTTCTTTTTTTGCTGTTTGTTTTTCTGTGTGAAAAATGTCCGCTGCTAATCAATATAGTATGATTCAATATGGTATGGCTCCGTTCAACGGAAAATCTGATTTTAGCATTTGGAAACAAAAAATAAAATGCATCTTAATTCAACAGAAGTCCGTTAGGGCTGTTGGTCAGACTTATTTAACTTCTGACACTGAAAATAAACGGGCGGAAATGAACGAAAATGCTTGTTCCACAATTTATTTGAACTTATCTGACTCTGTGATTAGAAAAGTTGGAATTTTAGAATGTGCTAAAACTCTTTGGGATAAACTTGAAGAACTCTATATTGAAACCTCTTTGCCCAGTAAAATGTTTTTGCTTGAAAATTTTTTCAAATTTAGATTGGATATGTCTAAGGACATTGAGGAGAACCTAGATGTTTTCACAAAACTTATTTCAGATATTAAGTTAACTGGTGATAAACATATAGATGATTATACTCCTATTGCCCTTCTAAATGCTATTCCTGACTCATATAGTGATGTGAAATCTGCTATTAAATATGGTAGAGATGAGGTTACCCTTGATGTTGTGGTCAATGGTCTTAAGAGTAAGGAAATAGATTTAAAACATTCTGGGGGAAATAAAAATTCCGGTGAGGTTATGCATGTGAGGGGTAGGCTTCAGAATATGTCTAATTACCAAAAGAATGCTAGTAATGGGGAATCAAGTAAGAAAAAATTTGAAAATGGAAGAGGTAGGTCTAAGTCCAGGTTTAAAGCTAAAAAATGCTATAATTGTCATGAAACTGGTCACTTTATTAAAGATTGTCCTAAGCCTAAGAAAAATCAGCAAAATGAACATGCTAATATGGCTGTCTGTGAGGGCAAAATGGGTGAGATTTTCATGATTAATAATCTGTGTGATTATGCATATTTGAACTCTGTGTTATCTGATCCTTTGTGTAAATCAGATTGGTTGGTAGACTCTGGTTGTACTTTTCATATGACTCCTTTTAAAACTTTGTTTTCAAACCACAAGAAAATAGAGAATGGCTTTGTGTCAATGGCAAATGAAAAGAAATGCAATGTTTTAGGAACTGGTGATGTATGCCTTAGGTTTTCCTCTGGTTCTGTGTTTACTTTGAAGGATGTTAGGCATGTTCCTGATTTACGTTATAACTTGATTTCTTGTGCATCTCTAGAAAATGATGGTTTGGAGGGAAAATGGGGTAAAGGGATTATGAAAATTCAAAAAGGGTCTCTTGTTGTTTTTACTGCTGAAAAATAAATCAATTTGTATATTTGTCATGTTGAACCTGTGCTTGATTCTGTTAATTCTATGATAGGTGATAAATCTGTTTTATGGCATAATAGATTAGGTCACATGAGTAATAAAGGATTAGAAATTTTGCATAAAGGAGGTCACTTTGGTAGTGATAAAATATCCCCCATCTCTTTCTGTGAATCTTGTGTGCTAGGAAAACAACATAGGGTTACTTTTCCTACTTCTTTTCCTAACCAGTCTAAGTGCACTAGTGTTCTTGAATATTTGCATGCTGATGTGTGGGGTCCCTCTAGTGTGCCTACACATGGAGGGAACCAATATTTTCTTTCCATAATTGATGATTATTCTAGGAAAGTTTGGGTTTTACTCATGAAACAAAAATCTGAAGTTTTTGATAAATTTAAAAACTGGAAAATTATGATTGAAAACCAAACGGGAAAGAAAATTAAAACTCTTAGGACAGACAATGGTCTTGAGATTTGTGTACTACTTGGGGTATTAAACGGCATAAATCTGTTCCCTACACACCCCAGCAGAATGGGATTGCTGAAAGGATGAATAGAACGCTCTTAGAGAGGGTGAGGGCTATGTTGGCCACATCTGGGCTCTCCAAGAAGTTCTGGGGAGAAGCTGTTTGTACTGCGGCCTATTTGATTAATAGGTCTCCTTCTGTTCCCTTAGGAGGGAAATGCCCTGAATTTGTGTTCACGGGAAAACCTATTGATTTAAATAATTTGAGACAAACCTCTTGATTTAAATAATTTGAGAATTTTCGGGAGTGCTGGCTATGTGCATCAAAAGATTGATAAGTTAGAACCTAGATCTAAGAAATGTGTTTTCTTAGGATATCCTGAAGGGGTAAAAGGTTATAGGCTTTGGAATAAGAGTGAACCGGGATTTAAGGTAGTGATAAGCAGAGACGTTGTCTTTAATGAAAATGAATTTCCTTGTTTACCTTTACATGTTCCTATTCCTGAAAATGATGCTCCAAATGAGGTGGACCAAAAGCCTATTATTAATCAACCCAAATCATTTCCTGAAGAAAAATTGAATGATATAATTATTGAAAATCAAGATGAGATTATTCCAAATGAGGTGGAGCATGATATGCAGGAAATAGATAACATGCATGATTTGAATGATTATCAACTCACTAGGGATAGAAATAAAAGAACCATTAGGAAACCTGAAAGATATAGAGATTGCAATTTGATTGATTGTAATATGTCTGAGTTTGCCTTTAATGTGTTTGAATCCCTTGAGTGCAATGAACCTAAGACTTATAAAGAAGCATTAAGGTCAAAATATTCTGAAGAATGGATTAGTGCTATGAAGAGTGAGATGGAATCCCTAAAAATTAACCAAACATGGAAACTTGTTCCTAAACCTGCTAGTTGTTCTGTAGTGGACTGTAAGTGGCTGTTTAAGGTGAAACAAGAATCTGAAAGTGTTAGGTTTAAGGCTAGGTTAGTAGCTAAGGGATTTACTCAAAAGGAGGGAATTGATTATGCTGAAATTTTTGCTCCTGTTGTCAAATTCACTACTGTTAGAATTATGCTTGCTTTAGTTGCTCATTTTAATTGGGAATTAAAACAAATGGATGTAACTACTGCTTTCTTGCATGGTGATCTTGATAAAAATATTTATATGCACCAACCTGAGGGCTTTGTGGACCCTAAATTGCCTGATCATGTGTGTTTGTTAAAAAAGGCTTTGTATGGTTTAAAACAATCACCTAGGCAATGGAATATTAGATTTGATAAATGCATGCAATCTTTAAAGTTTAAAAG